TATATTTAAGGTTTAAAAAGCCAAAAAATTTTCTTATTTCAAAATTTTTTTTAAGAAGTTTTATATTAATATTTATTTAACATTTCTAATAACTTAATTAATCTTTTCTACAATTTTTTTAAGAGTATTACAATTACTAGTCACAGTTGAAATAAAATCGATCCTGCACATAGAAATAATCTCTCTGACATAGTTGCAGGTTGTGCACTGAATATCCACTGCATACTAAACTTTTCTCAATATGCTTATCGATTAGAATAAATTACCAGGGTATTATTACACAATAATCCCATGGTAGAAATAATAATAGCAAAAGACTTCTTTTCAGTAATTACAGCTTTAAAAAAGAAAAAAGACCTCTCTTATTTATAATGACAACAGAATATAATTTTACTTATGTTCACATTATCTCTAATTTTACAATGTCTAATTTTTTAAAAAGGTAATATTATTCTGTATTGACGAATAAAATTATATTGAATGATAAATTGTCTTTGATTTTCATAGTATTTATTTGATTATTCAAAACATTGAGATATGTTCATCCCTAATTACTGCCATTCTAGTCTCACCGACTAGACTATACTTTCACAACATATCTTCCTTATCGACAAATTGTTCATTCCTATATTATAATTCAGTTGCCTTGAGAGTCTGTATCAGTTCACATTAGTCTGTGGTTACCACGTTATATCAAATTATTTACATGTGTATATACGATGTCGAATTGTAAGTTGCTACTTGGAAAAAAATAAAAATTTTTATCGATGGTTTTATATTTAGTAAATCTAGAAAAAGATATGATTTATATTATTAGACGTGCAAGAAAAATGCTGCAAAAGACAATTCTTGTGAATGTAAAGGTACTACAAATACATTATATCAAAACAATCACATCATTCGTAATTGCTATAAATATAATCATGCATCAGAATTATTGAGGCAAGAATTCATAAAAGCTTATTGTAATTGCACGTACAAAAAAGTCTATTAAACCATATCTTCTAAACACAAGTGCATTATGATAAGTAGTACATGTACGAAAACAAAAAACTTCCAGAAAACATTGATTCAATTTACTTAAGTTTTACACAGAGCTGAGTAAAATACTACTTTAAATAGTAAATACTAAATAATTGTATCTATTTTAAACTAAACGTATAACTTTGAAAATAAAATATTTTGATACAATAAGTCTTCAAAATAGTATTTGATTTAAATTATTTATATTATTTTATTTAAAGAGTATTGAAATATATTAATTTATTTTCTTATTCCGAAATAAGAAATATTTAAATATTATAGTTAAAAATAATAACTCACATTCAATACATTTATGAATATAAATAGTTTTCTAATTTTCTTTTATATACTATATATTGAAAATCATGATAAAACTGGTCGGATGATTTTTCTAAAAATATAGTATGCATCTAAGTACTCTTTCTTCTTTGGATTATTACTAATTTCAAGACAAGAAATATTTCCATAAATACTGCGGTTTCTCGAAAAACTTTTGCAAATAAAGTATTTAAAATATTTAATTAATTAATTAATTAATTATAATATTTAAAATATTTAAAAATATTACTAGAAATATTTTTTATTGCCATTATTTACAATATGTATTTATTTTAACTTCCTTCAATACCTCGAAGATAGAAATTCTAAGATTTACGTAAAAGAATCAATAAAATAACATTACTTAAGAGATGACCTAATGCTTTAAACAAGATTAAAATATTTTATTTTAGATATTAGATATTATTAAAATGAAATAGATAGATATTATTAAAATAAAAATATTTCATTTTGTGTGTTTTAGAATATTTGAAATATTACATCCTGTTTAAAATATTATTTTGTTCGAGCCGAACAGAATCTAAGATATTAAATAATATTTAAAATATTTATTTCGCAAAATATTACCCAACTCTAATTGTATAAGATCTTAGATAGAAAATTTTTTATACATATCATATACATAAAAAAAGATCTTCATCTATTATATTATTTGTAACTAATGAAAATTTAATGAATGTAACTAATGCAAAATTCTGGATCATGGATCGGACATTCAAAATAATGTATTTTTTAAGCAATTATATACTATTCGTGATATTGTAGGAGAATCGGAAAACGTGAAGTCAATTTCATTTATACTCTCCTGTTACCAAAACGGCACAAGATTTATAAACTGTTATTTGATAAAATAATTGATTTGAATAATGAAATAGATTACGTCTTAAATCTTAAATTTATATTAACAGATTTTGAAATATCAGTTTAAAAAAAAAATATATATATATATAGATAGATAGATAGATAAATGCTATAAAATAAATTCCTTTTTTCTTCTGCAACTCTAAAAAAGCGTTTTTTCCATTGATACAAATCTATATATCGTAAAGTGGAAAAAAAGTGGTTTAATAAAATAATATGGAACTGAAAAATTTAGTCTGTTAATTAAATAAATAACGTGTATCGCTTTTTCATAACTCTCCAAGATTGAAGATTGCTTTAATAAACTAAAATAATCATTCTCAAATGAAAATCAAATGATTGTTAAATGATTTGAGGAATATAATATACAACGTAGCGTCCAACATATATACGGAATAACATATTTGCGATTTATTTTCCATGGTTTCCATCTAAAATATTGTTTATACGTGACAATGTTGTAAACAATTTTCCAAGAACACAAAATTTTATTGAATTTTAGCATCGAGTCATTACTTGGTCATCATAACGTTGGAATATTTAATTTAATTAAAAATATACAAAAATAACAAGAATATTAAAATTGATAGAAAATTTCATAGAAAAATATTTTCGAGACGATCCTTCCTAAAAACGAAAAAGAAAAAATCGTGTAAAAGGTGACAGAATAAACCATATATTTTGTAATCGTTAAATACGTAACTGATTTAAACTTTGTAAAAGCATATAATATTTCTTTATAAATCAAAGAAATAGATTTATATAAGTAATAAACTTATTATTAATACTATTCGTTACACATTGATAATATACATATTTTAAAAAAATGTAATGAGTTTTCTTTTTTTACCTAGTAATTTCGTAAATAAAGAACGTCTTGTTGATTTCGTGAAACTATAAATCAATGAATATTTTGAATTGATAAGCGGTTTATCATCTAACACATATGTTGACGCTGCATAGCAAGTGATGTATCGAAATACATATTAATATGTAAATTATTGTCAGTAAGAAAAATATGTTTATGAAAGTATGTCGGTGAGAATAGAACAACAGTCACTAGGGACTGTCTCATTGTCAGTAAAATATAGCATCGATGAAAACATCGTCGAGGAAGTTGTGTCAGTCATATGGACTCATTATTTTTTATTCCTTTCCTTGAATTTAAAAATTAAGAAAATACATTAGGTACGGAGTATCTCATTTGAAACGTCCCACTCAATTATGTTCTAAACTATTCTATTATATAAAAAAGAATATTTCAAATAAAAATTACTTTATTTCGAGGGAGGGGGGGGGGGGCATTTTTAATGATATTTTATCATAGATTTATCTAGGAAAACGTGCTTCTGAGATCTCAAGATAATCTTTGTTTTAACTAAACGTGTAGTCGACTTATCACATGTTGGTATTTCAAGATTAAGATTTTACCGTCTTTCAGAAGTTACCTGCAATAGACCAAGATTATCGTTACTTCTATTTATAAACAGAATATTACATCTGTTACTGCATGAATATTTCTGTTTCTGTTACAATCTCCTGGAAAGAATCAGAATTATTGCAGTTGGCAGTACGTATTATTCGCTTCTGTATCAATTCAATTTTTGGTTTGTTACACAACGAAATTATTATGATTTGAATTTTGAAACATTATTGAGGAACATTATATAAGGCTGTTGCACGTCTCTACCGCAACAGATTTCCTACTCCGGTATCCAAATCATAAGACTTTTCGAAGATGTGAACTTCGTACTCAACAAGGACATTTTGAATGACAATAGAACGTTCAAAGCTGTTGCTATTAATCTCCATATTAATATTTGGCAAATAGAAAATTGTTACACTATGTCGCAATCTAGTGCATCGAGAGTACTGAGAAGACATCGTTTCCGTCCTTTCTATATAATTTTGCAGCAAACATTAATACAACATTAACCGATGCTGAATTTACTGTCAAAATACGTCTTTGTCAATGGCCTCAGCGTGAATTGTTACATGATCCTTTCTTCTTTTCTCATGTATTGTTTTTTGATGAAGCGACATTCTAAAAAAGTAGGCAAGTGAATAGACATAATGCTTAATGACTGATCTGACCACAGTCCGCACTGGCACCGCACATTAGTTGACCTTATTTTTTCAATGACGTAACAAAGACCCGCTAAAACGATTTTATATTCAAAGAACTCCAAATTCTTCTGAATGACCTATTAGAGCGCACATGTGATTTCAACACGTATGCTTCCATTAAGAACAGCTGCCGAGTACGAGCAACATTGAATAATATATAATATTTTCCTTGTCATTGGGTAGAAAGGCGAAACAGGTCACTGAATTTGATATCTACACTTCTTCTTGTTATATTAACAACAAAGTTATGTAAATGTCTGGTGTTTCAGGAAGACTTCACTATATCTCCGATGATACGAAAAACCGTACAAAAGGATATTTGTCAACGAATGGAATTGTAAGAAACTATCCTTTAAAGAGATAGACAGCACATTGACGCATTAAAGATCACCATTTCGAATATAGACGATAAGATAATTTCTAAGGTAATAATTCCTTGGTTTTTTGATGCAACGCAGATAATTTTTGAAATGCAGTAAACGACCTTGAATAACCTTGAAATAATATATGTAGGTCGATGAATTCGTCATGGGCTATATGTCAATTTGAACAAAAATACATGTACGTACTTTGTATGGAATTTACAAAATGAAATCTGAATATTAACTAAAATTGTCCTTGAAATTATATTTTTATTTGTACACTATTATTCTATACAATCATAAAAATTATAATCCATTAATGCACTTTAATTATCATTCTTTAGTACATCGCAAGTAATATCGAAATGTACGAAGCCGACACTTTTAACATCTAAAAAGTTAAATATATTATTAACAAAATACATCAAAATATATACAGTATGTTCATTTGAAAATTTCTAGATTTTTGTTTTATCTTAAAAACTAAACAAGAAAAATTAAACAAGTTTCGTTTGCATAATTTAACTTTCTATCCTGTATTTTATCAAACATCTTTTTGAGAAGAAGTCCTATAAAAAAATGTTTCATACAAAAGTTTCTCCCTTAAGACAAGAATTTATAAAGAAAAATGTAGTTTTCCACTTAAGAAAAAAAAATTGATTTCTAAGTAAAAAATTGATTTCTTGAAGACATCTAATTGTAAGAAATGAAAAGTATGGCAGTGCTTCCCCTTGAAACTGTGAAACTTTGTATTAAACATTTTTCTTGAAAAAACTTTGTTTTCAAGATACTTGGACTGAAAATTTTCAAATGAACACACTATATAATTAGTTTACAGAAAGTATAATTAGCTTTATCAAGAATAAAATTATTGATTACATAGTGTAAAATTATTGAGGAGTTACAATATAAAATTTTTCAAAATGTTTATAAAAATTTCATATTATATATTGTAAAATTCAACAATTCTATTTTCTTATGAAAGGATATGATTTTATTTATTGTGAACACTATTAATAGCACTATTAATAACTTACGTTAGCAAACGTTTCCACGCAGAGTGTCACAAATTTTCCAGCAGTAAGTGTGAATGGGCTTTGAGTCCCCATCAAAATTAATAATACAGTTCGACTGTTCTGTTGATTTAAATTGTACCAAAACATGGCATATGCAGCTCGATTAATATTTTCACTCTGAAAAAGAATTAGTAAATAGAAATTAGTAAATAAAAAGATACAACAAAGTCTAAAAAAGTGCATACATGTACAATATATATATTTGTAAAAAAAAGAATAAACGTATGATAATAAATGCAATATATTCAAAACTGTGAGATAATTAATCAAAAGTAAAAGAAATAATATTACTAAACGAAACATTCTTTAATCCAATGTGCAGGAACTTTGATAGTTTAAAATTGTTTAGAAGTACTTTTATTTATTTATTTATTGTCTTTTATATTTTTCTAATCTCACTTTTTTAATGATAAAGCTCTGAAAATACAAATTTAAAAGGCTATATTAAATAGTCGATCAAACAGTAGATTTCAGTGAAATTTTAATATAAGAAAGATTAGAATATTGAATTCTATTCTTTTTATGTTTAGGTTTCAGTAATAATTAATACTGTCAGTTAAAATATTATTATAAATATTATAAATATTGTCAGTTACAATATTTTTAATATTTTTTAAATAATTGATTAAAAATTATCATTTTATGAAAGGTAATGTGCAAACTTTTATATAAAATTTTAAGGAAATTAATAAAAATGACTAAATATCAATATTCCAGCATGCTCGAAGCTTTAATAGTGCTAAATTATCAAATATATCGAATTATTTAACTATAATGATATCTATCGCTAACTATCGATATGTTATATGATACAAACGAAGAAAGTAATTTAAAAAATGATTATTGTTAATATAACAATATACTTCAATAACAAAAATGATATATTAAGTACTGAAAAAATTTCGTGCAAATTTTTAAAATAAAATTCTTTTATGTCAAATAATATATCTCTGTCTTGTAGATTCATCACATTGGCATATTTGCGCAATATCTGCACAATATCTGTATTTTGTATTGTCCCTTTGCTAATAGAATTTTCTCCATACACATTACGTTTTCGCATATTTTTTGCTATATTTGTTCAAATTTGTTCAAACTCTACATATGTATGTACAATGTATTCCATTTAAATGTACGATGGAATATTTCAAAAAGTATTGAAGTTATTCTCATTAATTAGTTCGACATTTTTTTGTAAATGGAGATGTGAGGAAAATTTCAAAATCAACTTCATTTTTTTAAACAGAATCATATAATTTCAAATGCAGTAGTCGATTTATTTGAGTATTCTCTATAAAAGAAAAAACTACAATATTAACTAATTTAAATCGAAAAAACATTGTTAGAAAATATTTAGAAAATATTTTTACTTCAAGAACATAGTTAGAAAATATTTACACTTTAATTTTGTAAGGCAAAAAGACAACATAAACACAGGAATATTGCTGTTTTTCTTTGTCCTTCATATAATGGTTCCAAAAAATTAAATTAAAGAAATATCTCAAACTACTGGTCTTTCGATATATGTAAATAGATTACTAGTAATAGTATATAGTAATAAAAGTTGATAATAAGTTCAACATAAATATCTTTTTATAAAGAGTACTCAGATAAATCGATTATTACATTTAAAGTCATATGGTTTCATTTAAAGAAATAAAATTGATTTTAAAATCTTTCTCATCACTTGATTTACAAAAAAATAATTTTCTCTATATAATGTTTCCTCTCTCCCAACTAACTTTTGGTTAAATATTTTTTTGATAACTTCAATTCTTCATGAGATATTCATTTTCAGTTAAATAGAACACTCTATATGTATCAACTACAGTATGTATGTACATAATATCAAATTTTTCGCTGATGAAATTTACATCAGTACTAGTTACATTATACATTACTTGTTAACAAAAAGTTGCACAAACTTTATACAATATACATTTTACATCTAACCTAACTTAAACAATAACTCTGTTCCTATTGAAGATAGAAAGAAATTATACAAGAAGACTTTGTATTGTTTAAAAAGTTCTATCGTATAGTGCAATTTTTTATAACAATATATTGATGCAATTACATTTTTTATGCAATTTTTTTATTTCATTTTTATTACATTTTTTTATTGCAATTCCACGATTTCTTGTCTTGATTCGAATAAAAAAATATTGAAACATGATATAGAAAAAATTAATATTTTTCGACATATGTATTCTAAATTTTATATAAGATGCAGCATTCAATTGGGGATCACCTGTAATTGTACTTTACAGTTGCACTAATGCACTTTTGTAAACAGTCGTAATAAAGATAAAATCCAGTTATTAGATTCATTCTGTATATGAAATTGCATATATTAAACTCAAAGACCTAAAACAAATGAGAGAAAACAAATAAGCGAAAAACAACTAAAATATTATACATTATGACCTTATGTGAACACATACAATATGAAACTTCGCGTTCCCCGAAACAAATGTAATTCAATCCAAGTCTAATTTGATTAGAAATTACTCAAATATAACCCCGAAATAATCTAAACCTCATTTTAATTTAAACAAAATAAATTTAAATTAGATTAATTATAAGTGTATATTTTATGGAGTAAAAGTTAGGCTCTACCCGCATAGAAATTTAAAAGGTCTCCAAGAGCAAAATAAAAAATTTCATCCACATTGACTAATTGTTTTTTTCATTCATATCATTTTTCAGTCTATATTATATAATTTAGTCTTTAGTCCAGTCCCATTGTCAATCCCATTGATTATTTTTGATGATATACAGTCAGTATGTCATAATTAACTTCATAAGCGAATTCTTGGAATTCTACTATATATTCTTGGAACTTTCTAGGAAAAGAATTCCATTATATATTCCTGAAACTTTCTTAGAGAAAAATAAAATAATATTTGCTCAATTATGAGAATCTTGTTCTGTAAATCAATCAATTAATATTAAAAAAAATAATCAATATTAAAAATTAACTTGATATCTCAAGCAAAATGAAAATATTTCTTAGAGTTATAATAATAACTTTTCTTTTTAAATGTAGCACTTCAAAAATTAATTAAAATATTTAATTTTTATGTTTTACCTTAGATGTAAGATATTCCCCGGTATAACAAAGAACGAACGCTTCGCAAATCACAGCAACATAATAAGGAAAACATTTTGCTACTATAGTAGGCCCTTGTTCAGTATCCAAAGACTGAAATGTTAAAATTATATAGAATTATAAAGTATACAGAAATAAACTATATAAACTAGATATAAAATGTAAGTTATACAGAGCTTCAAATTGTGAAATGAAATTAACTCACATTTACGAGAATAAATCCTAAAAAACACATCACTAAAATATTTGAAATAAATTGGACCAATGATGTATACAGAAATAAATATTTAACATTTTGAGATACATAAAGAATTCTTTGATGTTTAATTATAACACGTTTCAATAAATATGATACTTCATCTTCACAATGATTTGAAACGTCGATGAGTTCTTGACATACGATATCAATTTGACTACCTATATGTAGTACCTAATAATTAAAAACCAATAGCTAACATTTTAAAAATTATTTTACATATATAATCTAAAATTATTTTATTGTATCATATCTTAAAATTATTTTATATATCTAATTGAGTTGGTCGAAAGCTACAGTAATCAATTCCATAAATTGGAAACTAAAAACAAATGATCATATTACAAACATTGTTTTAAACTTAGAATTTAATATTATCCATATCATTTGCCTGCAAAAAATGAACTTGTAGAAGTAAATCGTTTATTTTTTTGAGAATTAAAGAAGTATTCTGGTTTAGACGTTTGAAAAATCAATTTTTTTGTATTATCTTAAAGTATATGTTGAAAATATGTATGCAAAAATTTGTTTGATTTCGTAAAATTAATTTAATGTTAGTTGTAAATGTTTGAAGAACACAGCTCGTGATGGTACCAAAAACCGATGGTATCGTAACAAAACAAGTAGATATACATATTTTCTCCTAGAGTGATTCATTCTCTAATTGTAAGTCTCCCGTTTTAGAAAAGTGACTCATCTGTCAGGAGGAAACTCCCGTTTTAAAAAAATGACCCATCTGTCAGGAGGAAACTCATGCGTGCATCACACGTAGGGAAAAGGGCTTCAAAAATAGGAAGAAACAGAGGAATCGAGCAAATGAACAAGTGAATTGATGTACATGAAAAGTGTGTAAATATGTTTCTTTTTATATTATTAATTTCTTTTATTCCTTTATAATAAACTACATCTCGAACTCGAGTTTTTTTTTTTCATCGTAACGCAATTTATTAAAAAGAAAAAATAATATGTAAACTGTAATGTATGGATGCAAATAGAATTCTCCTTTGGAACTATTTCTCTAGAAATCTCTTTTTTTTAAATTACTAACATAATATTTAAAGATTTGTTTATCCGATTGACATAAAATTTTGAAAGAATCTTCACCACACATACTGTTATTGCATAAACAAAAACGTTTAAATCCATTATTCTTTTTCATTTTTAACAACTAAGATTTTTATTTTATTTTGTTTCACAGCTGTGTTTATATTCAAAATGTTTTTTGCTTTAAACTAGCGGAATAAACGAAATCGTAGCAGCCACTAGGACGCTTATTTTTAAAACAGTTTTATAAAACTAGACATTCATATTTTGATTATTTTCAAAATGTTTTATACTTATATGCAATATTTAATAAGAATATTTCTTTTAAAATAATTTTAAAACATAAAATAGAACTCTTATGTAAATCTCTACTTTTTCAAATATCTTAATATTCGAATATCATATTATCAGAACAAAATATCTACTAGTAATTAGAAGTTCATCTGCTACTATTTTCATGATATTAAAATATTCGGAAAATTATGGCTCATATAAAGAAGACTCTATAAAAAAATAAATTATACTTAACAAGAGTTCATGAGCATAAATATTTAATAATTTTTACAAGAATGGTAGATTATACCATAAATTTCCGTACAAACTTTGCTATCATATTCTGGCAATAAAGTATAGCTCTTTAATATTTTACAAATTCAAATAAAAAATGTATCGATGTTTGTCAAGATTATGTATCGTGGAAACATTTAACTATTGTTCCAAAAATTGCTGGTTTGAATATTAGATTCATTAGCAAGACGCATATATATTTTCAAAATCAATACATAATTTCAATTATGTGTCATTAATAAATGAATGTACACTGACAATGTAAACATGTATCGCCGCTTTAGCACATTTTCTATGCAAAAATCTACGACCTGATGCAATCGAACAAGTTTTGTAGCGCAAACATTCACTGGATATGAGTTAAGCGAGCCTATTTTCAATAATAACGCATAAGGGAGCATTGCTTGTTCGTATCAAGCCTAAAACATTTTTCAAAAATATCCGTAGAAATCAAAGCCATTGATTTTTAAATAATTTAATAAATAAAAAATCAGGAGTTTTTGAAATTTTATACAATACCTGTTTGCTCATGTTTCAAAATAACACAGTCAAATTATTGTATGTATTTTTGCAATATCTCACTTTTAATCATTTTACTATATCGTTCGAATGAGATATATATTTCATATATTTCTTTATTAAGATGTGAGTTATATTTCAAAGAAAACTTAAAATACGAAATATAACAGAATTCTTTAAAAAATTATCTAATAAGACGTGTGTTACTTAAAAAACATAATTTATATAAATACACTAGTTATTTTTTTGTTGTATTGTATCATATTCAAAAAAAATGAACAAAAGTGTTCATAAGAACACATTTTTCATTTAATATCCGCTATAAAGACATCAATTTCAGGAATTGATTTTTCTTTGAATTAGAAATCCGTGATTGTGAACCGGTTATATACTAACGATATTATATGACAGAATAATTCGTCTATGATTACGAATCAATTAATGGCTGTTATTGGAAAGAAAAGAATCGAAAATATAATAAAACTTAATTTATATAAAAGTGGGGAAGAAGTTTAATATTTAGGACAAGCCATCAATAAATAGATGAAACGGAATCCTTCCGTTCAAAAATTACAGCCACTTTTGTGACGGACCTAATTTACATGGAAAAAACAAAGTAATTTTAAAATTTTTTAAAATATTTTTAAAATTTTATAAATATGTATTATATATATTTTTGAATACCGGCATTGATTCGGATTAAATAAATCTCTAACCAGCGAAAGCAACACTGTCAAATCTATAATCGGTAGATTGTTCTCTATAATTTTCCACATAATTACAAAATAAAAACTGTTGAAACAGGATTTATTTTAATATTATTATTACTCGTATTAATACTACTCGTATTAATATTATTAATAAATACATTGTGAAACAAACTATAAAAATATAATACAGAAAGATATAGAACTCTATTAACATCACGTGCTGGTAAAATAGCTACAAACGAGTAGACACTGCAATATGAATAGACACTGCATCTTACAGATTTTCGTGGCCATGACCTGAAATATCGACTAAAAAGTCACTGATTTTTTTCTAGCACACTCTACATTTAAACAACGGTGATTTGGGGAACTAATGAATGCTTCAGTAACAGGATTTTTTAGACCCACTGCGTGTTGTCAAACTTTCAATACCGAAATGTGAAGTTAATAGTTAACCGAAATCATTCTATTGTATCTCAAAAAGAGCTCTATCCATTTTTAACGGATCACAACTTTTTTCAATATGTAGTAAATAAAAATTTTTAAATTATTAATATATGGTTTTATGTATAAATGATTATATTGTATTAAACATTCTTAAAAATAATTTTTAACTAACTAAATTTTCAATTATTTTATATTATTATTAATATTAAAATCTTAAAATTATTATATTCCCTCATTTACGCATTCCTTATATTACATATTCAAATTTATGTTAAATTTTTAACAATTTTATTATCACTATGCAGTGCATGAATTCTATAATTCATTAGTTAAAAATTATGTTTATTAATTGAAATATTATTCAAAATTCTTGCCTATTAATATTATGAAATACACGACAAAACTTTGTTATTTATTTAATATAAATCTTTAACATTTCATGAAGATTTAATAAAAAATATAGACTGAAATAGATATAGAAATATAATTACGGAATATATCCTTATATGTATATCTTGCAAAATCGATCTGTATTGTATGTGTTTACTAAATGTATTTACTAAATGTTTGTAGTGAAAATTATATTTTTGCAGATTAAGGAATAGGAGGAAAACTTATACTATACAGTTCCTCAGAATTTTATTAGAACAAGATAAATTTTTCACGAAGCAGCTTCTTGATATTAAAATACATATATTTTTCTCTGATTTATATTTTGGTCCTTGACCGAACCTGAAGACGGTTCATAGCGTGAAAAATTCCTAATAAAATATAATATTTAAAGGGACACAGGTTTTAGATTTTCTATTCAAAGCAGATTTACTGAAGTGCATTCTAAAAGAATTTTGTCATACCTAATACTGTTCTATTCATCAGAAAATGAAAATAAAAAAAAACATAATATTTTAAATTTAAAATCAGGAAAAGACTTTTTAACTTTTTTTATTATTATTTTGAAAAAAACTTTTTATTTCTTGAAATATGTATTTATTTATTTTTTATAGAACTTTATAACAAATAAATAAATAATATAAATTTTCTTATTTTCAAAATTTTTTCTTTTTTATTTGATTGTTTATCAAATATTTGAAAACAATTTAACTTTTATTAATTAAAAAATAATTCGCTTTCCGCTGTAATCATTGATAAAACCAAATTTTCATGGATTATAACTAATTTTTTCGAAATAATATCGTGAAATTTGAACGAATTGTAAACAACAAAAGAAGTTGAAAAAAATAATATATTATATTTATACGCAGCATGCCTTTCCTTCATTTTAGTTTTCTTATTATTTTATAACGCAACAATATATACTTTTAATTATTGATTATTATTTATTATTTAAATAAAAATTTGCTCAAATAATTCATGCGGATGATCAATACTTTGGGTCGGCTTGGATAATTTCGGTTGAGTTCGGACCTATTTCGCTAGTTTAACCATTTCATCAAGTCGATGGACAAAACAGTAACAGAAATGTGGCAACCATGTGAAACTTCTAGATTTCGGTAACTACGCTTTCGTCAGCAAAACCGAAGGACACTTGCCTGTCAATTCGCTTTTCGTTTGTCATTATGCATAATAAAGAAGGCAATTGGGTGAAAGTAGACTGATTACTCGCTCACCGATTTCAGTGATTTTTTAATGTACTGTGAAGGTATTTTAAACAGTTTTTTTTTGTAACGTGTATGTTGAACTTTATTTGTTAGAGGAAAGAGTCATTCAAAGTATCGATTTTTAAACGATATTTAAGGATCAAAATCAGTAAAGGAGTGGTTAATCTACAAATTCACCGGCAATCAGAATGAAGAAAAATATGAGAAATGGTTTAAAGTCATAAAATGTTAATACTAACATACATCCATCATTAAGTCACTCATACTTTATATCAATGCTTTTATTAACAATAAATGAGTTTGGTCGTCGAAAATGCAACTTAGAGTTCGTCTTAATAAATAACATTGTATTTTAAAAAGAATATGTATGGTATCGTATAAAAAAATTAATTTGACTTCAAAATTTCGAAACGGATGAATTTTTCAAGAAATAATTTATAACACATGATATGCTTCTTTATTGCAAGCAATATTTGTAGAAATATTTTATTGATGAGTTCAAACTTTCATAAAATCGAATTTACGATATAAAGATAATTTATTCATGCTGTGAATTTGCACATTTGTAAATTAAAAAACGTTATATCTAATTATATTGTTCGTAAAAATATCATATTTCAATCAATTTTTTCTAATAATACTTTCAAATAAATGTTAATAGTCAAATATATATTAAATCCCAATTTTCATTAATCTGTTTTAAATCGTTATATTCCTTCATTGATGAAGTGCCACCATCTTCAATTCAATGAATAATTCTCGAAATAAATTTGGCAACACTGTCCATATTTTTTTATTTTCGCGGTGCAAAACTTGCCTGAATCGGTACGATACAAAAATGCTAATACCGTCCGCAAAATTGTGGCCGAAAAAATACATTATATGCAAAATCTATACATATATCTCGTCTGTGATAACCGATCGAAATCGACTTAATAACATTTGCTGTTTTCAAAGAAAAGTTTACGAAACACACATTTTCAATACTTGCTCTTGTTTGCAATATTTCAGTAAACACTGTAAAATTGTAAGTCAGGATAATGGCAACATGGTAAATACATCTGCTGCTTGTTTGTATATCGATATATAAGTCACATTAACATTACACATTTTTTGTTTTTGTCAGACATAATGAAAATACAATATAACATGTTTAGTCCTCCTGTGGTATTCAGAGTTTTTTGATATTGTTATTGCTGCGTAATTATTAATTTAATTCGGTTGTTTTAAACTAATAGATTTAAATAATGATCGCAGGCAAATCTTTTAAATGCTTCCAAGATTGTATATATATATATATATATATATCACTTCTAATAATCAGAAAACATAAGCCTATAACTTGTTATAGACTTGTTGCAGCAGGAAAACATATCTGGAAATTGACTTGTCTTTCAGTTCACCAATACAATCAGAATTACAATATCCAATTAATTTATCTGATGCTTCATCACCAAAACATAACGAAATATCACTTGTTTCTTTTAAATATTTTGCGAGCGTACTTATAATAAATGAAATATTAGGTCCCGACATTGTTGCAAGGTAATTTAAATATTCAATTCTCGATAATTTTTTATCCAGTAAATTCGCTTAACCGAAAGATTTGTTGATGACATTAGAGTTTTATTATTTTCTAATCTAAAACGATGTATCGAAAATGATGTAACGAAAGATGTATCCTTTTTTATTAATGGTAATCTTGATTTCCGATTTCGAGATATTTCCATGCCAACATAACAGAACGACGGATTTTTGTGACTTGTGATATGTGACATCTGGATGGTGTGAATTTAAAACAGCTGTGCGAATTCTAGTTTGCAACAGTATAGAAGACTTGTAAAGATTTCCTTCATCGAGCTAATGCTAGATGAAATTGCTGTGGAATTTTCATCCCCGATTCTAGTGCTTTCTGTACATACTTTGTATATACTGTTTATTTTCTGTATATTCTACAGAAGTGTTCTAACAAGAGATGTTCTTTTACAAGTATTCTTTTAAAGACCAAGAAAGTCCTAAAATATGGCGCGTCTAATTGCATCTTCATTGTCATCGTCTTAAAGACCAATAGATTTCAAATATATTCACCTTCTTTAATAATTATTGCTTTCCATTACCCATTTTATAATTATTGTTTTCGTTGAATTCGGGATAATATTTCGGATGCGACAATAGAATGCCTGCTGGCAATCAAAATATGTATTCATATTTCAAACTATAATATCTACATAATTTGATCTACATAGTCAACAAAAGTGTTGTCAAGTGAAAGGTCAGAAACTCAAAGTTCACTAGCGACTTTGTGATAAATTTACAAGAAATTAAAAAATTTATTTAAAAAATAGAAGAAAATGTGAAAAAGAATAACTTTCCGATTTTAGCAAGCTGCTAGATATGAAAAAGTCGACTTTGGCTCACTGAAATCTTCATGCGGCAATAGAATCCTTTACCACTCGTAGGGATATTCCAAAAGAATGTCAGTAAATTTAAATTTCTTTTAAAATAAATAGCAAAACTTTTCTCTAACTCCAGTAATCTTCGCTACTGTGCTCTCTCTCTCTTTCTCTCTCTTTTCTCTGCCATATTTTCATATTGCTTGCTGATTTTTTTTATCTTTAAACGTATAATATACTGTACATGTTTATTATTTTAAAAACATGACCAAAAGGACATATACAAAATTTCAAAATTCCAGACCTTCTATCCATAATAATTGTGGAATGTCAATTCTGGGAAAGGGCCCAGAACTTTCTGCAGTGCCCAATAATTGTAGCCAAATGTTTCAAGTGGCGTGCCATGTGCTGTAGCGAAAGTTAGGCCTGGGACCTGGGATTGTTCATTCTAGCCTTCCACTTAAAATAGCACTTAACCCGGGATTACCCACGTGAGGGTCTAGTCGCCGGGATGTACCTGCGCTAGACCCCCAGGTGAGTAATCCCGGGTTAAAATATTAAGGGTATGGTTGCGTTTGTGTGTATGTATGTATGAACGACGAATGTTTCGTGCAGATGAGAAAGAACATTTCGAACATTCAATGAGTACAGAGAGTTTCGAGCATTCAGTGAGTAAAGTGAGTTGCGAGTCGCGAGAGCGAATAGAGAGTAGCGAAGATTGAGAGAGCAAATAGCGAGTACAGCGTGTAAACGTGACGAAGAAAAAATAATTATTAAATAAGTATTAATCTTCATCTTATAATTACCATTAAACAAAATTCTTATTTTTAACTTTAAATAAACAGCCATTTTATACCAAAATTCCTACATAATTTAATAATTTTCTAATTGCTTAAAATTAACGACTTTAAATGAGAATGCTCCCTTAGTTTGAAAGACTTTATTCCAAAAATTTTATTCCATCCTCACTAAATATTAATCAACTCTTAACAAACATAATGCGAATAATATGTCCATTTGTAACAATATGTCCATTCCATTCAACAAACAAAATTTAAGGACTTATATAAACATAAAGATTTATGTTGCGTAGTTATGACGGAAGTGTATTTTCCAGGAAAAATAGTTTTTCAAAAATAATTAAGTATTACTTTGTTAATCGAAGAAAGAAACAAATCAAAATTTTTTATTTTCAACACGTATTTATTCAATGATGTATAAAATATATTTACTTTATTATAGAATAATATAATAAACTACATACATGTTACATGAATCAGGACCATTGACATAACTGATCAAATTATGAAGATAACAGATTTCAAATTTGATATGATATTTTTAGTTCAAAGTTTCTTATTATTAAAGTTTTTAATGCTAAATCCACATATTATAATTATTTAAAATAATTTTATTCTTTTAATATACGTAGGAAAATATTTTCTAGCTATTATTTAATTTCAAATATTTCCAAGCTATTATTTAATTTTTATTGTTATCTAAAGTGTAATATATTTTCTTACGTACTTTTACTTAAAATGATTTAACTCAATAAAAGACATTAATATCTATTGAAATGGCCGATTAAGAAATTGACATATAAAATTTCAATTTAATCAAATTCTATTAAATTCTAAAAATTTAAACTCTGTCTCGAGTTAAATAAATTAAAATTATAATATTTATTATAAATATATAATATAGAATTATAATATTTATTTAAAAAATTTCTATAAAATTTCTCTACAAATGTTCTCAAATGGTATGTACTATGTTGCACAGAATAAACCACATAATTTGATTTAATAGTTCATCGTTATTAAGGTTATTCATCAAAAATAATAAGAAAACAGGATTGACTATAGAATTATATCAGTTATTTATAAATCTAATTAAATTTATATCTATCATTTATATATTGCATATAAATATTGAATATTGATTTATGAGATCTACTACACGTACAAAAGTATAGAAATTATAGACATTAGTAAAATTTAATATTTTTCACTTAATTGATTTTTACTGTTAATAGATAAATGAATTAATTTTAATTCCAATGAATAAATCTATCTCTACATTAATTAAAGGATATGTCAAGAACAATTGTTTAAGAAAATTTTGCTGAAAACGAACTATTCGAAAATAAACTTATTCGAAAATTAAACAATGTTACTATTCCTTACAAATAATCAAATTATATGGTTTGTTTCACATGATTCTTAATTATGAACAATAATTTTAATAGAAATAGTAAATTAATAGAAATTAAGTAAATTAAACTATCAACTCACTAATGCCGCAGATAATGCCATCAACATCCCAGCCATAAAGGCTACAGAATATTCAAATGCAAATTGGGCAATTGTAATAAATTCATAAAGTGGAAAAATCATTACATCGAAAGGAAACCTCATTTTAAGTAACAATTTCTTGTTGTTTGAATTCAATTCTCCAATATCATCAGACAGCAACATGGTACTTGCTGAATATAAGATACAAGTCATCGAATAAATGACTACCAAAAACTTCGAAATGCGAGAGCATGTAACTAAATTATCCGTCATAAATTCTTTATTTTGATCCGTAAGAGCACAATTATTCCAATCTTCAAACACGACTAGTAGAATATTGCGAAGTTTTCTGTATAAAGTAATTTTTACAATTATTAATATTCGAAAAAATTAATTAAAACGTTAAAACATTTCTGTACAAAAAAGCACAGGAAAATTTTAAAAATTGACATTGCCCAATAAATAAAATAATAAGCACGATTAGATATAAAACATAGTAAGGATGTTTAATCATATAATATAAAACGTGAGGATTAAATATATAAAACATAAGATACTTAATAGAAGTGATAAAAAAAAATTAACAATTTTCAATAGTAAAACTGATAATACATAAAAATTACTATTTGAATAAATTTCATCTTTACATCGTCAAATAATGTACATTATTGAATAGTCAAAGTTCATTTTCAGAATCGAAAATAGTTATGACATACATATATCTTACCGATAGTTAAACCAAAGAATGATCAACTTAATGAACGTAATTGTATTTGATAGAGTCACACTTAAGCCATCTAATAGATCAGGTAAGTCTACTGTTTTAAAATAAGTAATACAATACCAAATCTGGAATGTTACGCAAGTACCCATTACGATTGTCCAAAAGATACGTTGCAAAATTCTATATGAGGAATTTGGCCAAAGACCTATCAAACGAAGACAAACTTCTATAGGATAGGTAATTATAGTTTTAAGCGCCATCCAATTGTTTTTTCTTTTTTATTAATTCACATGCGAATTAGAACGAAGAAATTTTAACTTTTTTTTAAACACTTTAACACAATATATATACATCTACATCATATCAAACGTAGATAAATTTTCTACTGAATCATCTGTCTTATACGAATGAATGTTTCTACCTGAATGACAACTTTCGCAACATCTATAAGCGAATAACATTTTTGTTCATTATTTTTCGATCAATACCAATTATTTGTATACCATTATGTACTACAATAGGCAGATTAAATTAAGTCTACTGCTGCCGTAGATTATCATTCAATCTCTCTTCCATATTTTTTTCTATATTAACACAAATCGAAAGTTAGTATTTGATTAAACAGTACAGTTTCAATATACACATATGTTATACAATGTTTTTATATCTGACTCTTGAAAGACGAAACTATTAAATAAAAACAATATTTCATATTAATATACCAATAAAACATGCATAAAGTTTGTCAGTGATTAACTACCGTAATATATTGTGATTTATTTGTTAAATTTAATATATATTAATATTAATTAATTTTTATTAATTATACCATCCTTTATATTTTGATAGATATGTTTGTACAAGTGATAAAACCAATTAAAACTTCGAATTATTTGAAAAAATTAATTTAAAAATAAATACAATATTAACAGTGAAAGAAAACAAAACATATAAATTGATTCCTTTAAACTTTAATTATTTTTCTTTATGAAATTCTAATCTTCTAGATACATTTTTGACGTCATTTATGAGATTTTATTCTATTAGTTGATTACAAAACTTCGTACTCAATTTAAAAATAAAACACAAGCTTAATATACATTTTAAAGTAAAGAATTTTAATATTAGTTATTGTAATCTGTGTTATTCTCCATTAAAGCACGCACAATATTATCATCAACACCAAAAAATCCAAAAAATCCTTCATTTTTAATTATTTGGAGAGCAGACGCACAGTCTAAATATAAACGTCTTAATTGTTTTTTATTGCGATTTCATATAACATAACATGGCGAAAATGAAATTTTTCGTTCTCCACATTGAAAAATTCCTTTCGTGCATAAATCAACTTAATTCAACGTCTGATGATAAAATGAGTGATGATGGCATTTTTCGACAAATGTCGAACTGTGATAATGCTGCCATCACTTCTAAAAATCGGACACCAACTTTTGTAATACATAAAAAAATTATATGGACAGCAGATTTTTAAATTTAATTTTTTCAAAAAACGAAACATCAAATCAAAAAATTGTATTCTATACATTTTTATTATTTTTTCATCACGAATGTCCCCTTGTATATATGTCATTCCGAATCTGTAGAGAAAAAAATATTATTTAATTAGAATATAATCATTTTAAATGATCATAATTTCATTCGTTTTAATAAAACATACAGTACAATATTAATTTAATTCTATATAACAAAGTTAGACAGAAAATCAATCAATGATTAACGATTAAATTTTTTCAATAATCTTTGATCGCAATTAATGAATTATATTAATGAATTCCAACTTTAGTTGTGAATCATAAATAACAATTAAATTCTTACTTCATTCGTTAGTTGCAATGAACGACTAAATATCTTTCAATTGTTAATTGCGATTAGGGATCAAATTCTTATTTTAATTGTTAATTGTTATTAACGATTAAATTCCTTCCAATTTTAATCGTCAGTTGGATACGATTAATTCATAATAATTATTAACGATTAATTGCTAAAATTCTTTTTGTACTAAAATTAGCATTTTCTATGTCTTCTTGTTCGCGGCTAAGGATCGAGACTTGCATTAATGTATGAGATGATTAAACCTCTGTAAGTCCGTGAACAGTGAAATAATATTAATGTCTAATATAACAAAATGAAATTTTTTATTACTGCTTATTTATTTAATAAATTTTGAAGAAGCTCAAAATAAGTTAATTGGGCTTGCAGTTAGATATATATATGTAATCCTCTTGACAGATATAGAATTATAATGAGGAATATGTTTTATTTCAATTAAATATCTTTATCCTAATGACCTCGACGCTTTATTACAATTACAAAATATATCTTCAATATATCTTCAATTCAAGTAAAATTATAATCAAATTCGATGTAATAATTGATAATTGACACTATTAATCAATTAAATCAATTGCCGACTTTTCATCAATTAATTTTCTTTAATCAATAATATCGATTTTAAAATAAATCATCTATTTTTCGATGATTAATTTTATTAATCGTAAATATTAATCAGTCAATCAAACTAAAAATTTTAATCAATTATTTCCCTACTCTGGTATATAGTACAAATATGTATATGTAGATTGCAGGTCCAAATACAAGACTGAAATTGCTCCATCACTTATAACCATGAATCTAGGGAAACAAGAAAGTGTTATCTCCACGACTAAAACAAGAGCGTACGTGACTCCTTTTCTCTAGCATGAAAATAATAAAAAAGGTACCGGAAATCAGAACCTTCTTAAAAAGGAAGCTACAGTCTGTTCAACAAGACGAATCAGAACATATGTACGCTAAGGACGTAACAGATGCAAAAGATTCCAGCTGTTGGATGGCAGATGTTGCCGATTCAGAATACATGGGACGACGGATTGTTATTTTTAAGAAATTCGTAATGAAAAATTGGCTTCTAATATTGTAAAACTCTTCTAATATTGTAAAAAAAAATTATATAACAAATTTTCGACCGAAAATCCCATCTGAAAAGTTTAATAATATTTGAAAGCTGTGAATACGTTCCTATCCAATCACATTTGTTTATCTTCGCTTCTGTAAATAACTCCATCCTCGACATTCGTTAATAAAAGTAGGAAGTCTATAGTCCAATAAGAAAGTTTGTCAGACTTGGAAATTAGGAACTTTAATTAGAAAGATCCGGCAGGATTTAAAATGGACAATATTGCTCCTGGATAAATTCCTAATCGACAGACGAATATTGCTTGTCCATATTAAGCAGAGAAAAAAATAGGTCTTCTTCTGATTCTATCGAAAAGAAAGGAAGAAAATAAAAGAAAAAATGAAATCTTTCATCAATCTCTCTATTTAAAGAGCTTTTGAGATTTTACTGTATCAACTGAGAATTGAATGGATCCTTGGATTAACTCAAGGATACTTGAAAGAAACATTTTAAATTTGATTTAGTTTGATCCAACTTGTTTCAATTTAATTTAATTTCGCTTAATTTAATTTAATGTGATTTAAATGCAGTTTAATTTCGTTTTATTATTGCGTTTTGTATTTTGTTTAAATTTATTTTTTAACAGATTTAATTTAAATTTTTTTTTAAGAGTTTAAGTATATTACTAGTTATCGTGATGGTTCGTTTTATACTTTGACAAATATTACATATTCGTATAAACTTTTCTATTGATCTCAGCAATTAATATTGTTACGGCAAGCTCGGCGTGTTGAACGTTAGTTGCTGTCCGCTTCGCTCGTCGCTCTCTCGTCGTGCCTGTTACAGCCTCCGGAGAGATATTTTAATGAATGAAGACGTGATGTAGAATAAATACGTTTATTCTCAACAAATACAATGACTGAATTGAGTGTAAATGTAGGTGAATGTATGACTGACGCGGGGTCAGTCCTCTGACGGACTGCGTGTGTCTCGTCCAATGGTCTATTGGAGACTCCTCGAATGGTCTATGGGTGACTCTCCTGAATCCTCTTTTCGCTGTGTGTCTACGTCGCCCTTTTAATTGGTAGGCGACTTTCTGGAGCCGGCCAAGGCGCCTTGTTTCCTAGACAAGGCTTTGTTTATGCC